CTGCTTCAGGTGCTTCGCCGAGACCTGAGCCACTCGGAGCTCCGCGGCCGTGAAGCCCAGCTCCAAGACCTGCACAGCGAGCACGGCGAAAAGACTGAGATTCGTGCCACATGTTCTTGCCCTTGTTCCTAATAGCTTCTTGTTTCTACTAGTAAGGCACTTGTTACTAGAAGCGATGCACTTGTTCCTAGTAGCTTCTTGTTACTAATAGCGATGCCCTTGTTACTAGCGATGCTTTTGTCACATATGAACTGAAGCGGAAAAGCAATACATAAACTGTCCCCTGACGCCTCTTGCTAATCTCTCCTAAGATGAGCAGTGGGGCCATGTGGGGCCTGGTGGGGCTCGAATCCTTTCTGATGCTTGGATTCACGCGGCCTGCTGTAAAGAGAGGGAAAAGACCTGGAGGAAGGTTTCTGCGGAAAAGCCACAACGCCTCAGCACCAAAGCGGACACAAAAGTAACAATACGGCATACTAGCAGCAATCACTTGCAGAAGAGTGTGCCTCTGGCAAAATACACCACTAGGACAACAGTTGTTTTTCTTGAGGGTTCCAAACTGACAACCCTTTCCCCTTAGAATTCTGCAACACAGGTCGAATTTCCTCCCTCCAAAGTTCGTTATACATCTAAAAGCTGGTCATAATTGACCGTCATACACTGGCCACGCAAAATGGACTTCCTAATTCGACCGCTGATCCTCATAGACGTTGTAAGAACAGCTCAAACAAAAAGAATATCCTCCTCCTGGTATGCTCCCTCCAGCTGACTAGATGGAGCAAAGGTACTCAATAAAGACACCGAAAAGTGCACCCCGCTTTGGTGGCGAATCTGGCAAGATCCATCAAACTCCGACACCCTCCCCACCTGAGGTCACGCAGTGAGAAACCAGCTTTCCTCAAGCTCATGGCGCTGATGCCCGCCTCTCTCAGCTCTTCTGTTGTGTAGCCAACACTTATCAAGGCCTTTCAAGGAGCGACTTGAAACAAGCATGACTAGCCGACCGCACTTCTTTCATGGGGGGGTGAAGGTCACACAGGTTGGAGCAAGTGTGCGGAGTTCTTGTTTATTCTAGCGTCCCATGCTCCTGGCCACCTTGGCAATGGACAACGTCGCATCAAATCAACTGACGGAACTGAGTGCAAGTGAGATGAATGATATAGAGTGAGATGAAAATCCATCCGCAGGCGTTGTGTCGGCTCGGCTAGACTGGAGGATCAGCTGCTACATAAACGCTTAGGCCTTAAATGCAGGGGTCTGCTTTTTTTGTGTCTAGAACGTGTGCTTTTGATGAAAATTGACCAAAATTATATCGTGCGTGTGATTGTCCGTGTGGCTTCAGAGGTGAACGTTTGCGATGCCGGTTATGCAGCCTGGTGACACTGCATTATTGACATCGTTGATGTGTTCATCCGTGTGTCCTGCCCGACCGAGACAGACAGACTGTACCGAGACAGCCAACAGCACAAGTTGCTGCTTCCCACACTCGTATCCTCGTGGGGTGCTACTGATACATTTGCCCATTGAATCTGTGCGGGCGGCTTTCACCGCGAAGCGGTGTGAATACCTGAGGAAGGATGAGACAATCTGAATTCGCACGGACGATGAAGAGAAAGGAGATATGGTATGAGGATGAGAGGATGAGATGAAGCTGAATGATATTTGAGATGACTCCCAATGGGTTCTTTCATGTTCTGTCGAGCCTGCTCTGGAATACGCGCTTGGATCTTTGAAATCTTGGTAAACCTGTTGCTAGGACGTGTGGTGATCAACAGCTTTGTGTACAGTGCTTGCGGTCTTTGGCCGATCTGGAAATGGCTGCAATGGCTTTGACCAATCTGAGCTGGATGCGGGTAATCTGTTGCATGTTGGGCAATTTGTGGTGATGCATGCATGGGTGTTTGACGCGCTTCAAGCCGCATGAATGATGTGTCGCGGCAGGCCGCGTTTGTTCGTTGTCACCTGAGAATGACTTGTGCCGGTGTTGCATGATAAATCTATGTTAATCTATTCATCCGAAGTGATCTGGTGCGACGTTGCTCCCATATTGATTTCTAGGCTGCGATGAGGTGTCATGAATCCGGACGCTAAGGATTGGGGTGAAGGAGATTCAGAAAAGTTGCTCCTTGGAGGACAAAGGTCAACTGACCCAAATAACCAAAATGTACCCTTGGCAGAGCGAACTCAGCAAGATCGCCATAAAGAACTAGCCTTGTGTAGCCACTCAGTCCTAACAAACTCACACCTTGTCACCTACACACCCAGCCTTGATGGAGCAGCCCATCCCTGTAAGCTCCTCAGCAGGAAATCCGGCATCCCTAAGCTCCTGCAAGGAGAAACCCGCCTCTCGCAACTCCTGCGGCAAGTTTGTTGGGCAAGGTACGCAAAGTATATGAACAAGCCAGATGGCCTGAACCTGATTGTGGACTGTGCCCATCTCCATCATTACTGGAAGTGGCCAGAAGCAAAGCTAGGAAAAAAATGCACATCATATTCTGTTTACCAGAGGCAGTCAAGCTGGTGCTTTTGTTTCTGATGATCTCAGATGTTTTTGTGTCAGCGCACTCCTGCGCGGAGAAGCCAGCGCGCTTCAGCCCAGAGGCTGACGCTTTGTCATACAAGGCCACACTGCCATGCAGCTCCTTTAAGGAGGACAGCTGCCTGGCGTAAGGAGCATTTAACTGAGTCTATCGAAATTTTGCTCAAAAGATCCAAAAAACACTCCAGGGTTCTGGGTTTAGCTTTTAGCACCTTTCCGGACAACATTGATGGCTCACAAATAATATGGAAAAAATATAACATGAACAAATTGGACTTGTACCTCTGAAAGCATCAGGGCTGAAAAGCCGCCCTGATAGGATGTCTGCCTGAGGTCGGGCGTGTCAGGCTCCTTCGCGGTCGGGAGCTTCCAAAGGTCCAACGTAGAAAGTCGAGCGTTGGTGAATGGGAGAGCGCTTCCCCTGCGTTGGAGAATTGGAGAACAGCGCAGTTGGAGAATTGGAGAACAGCGCACCGTCTGTTGTCACCCTCTACAAACTCCTTCCTCTACAAACTGAACATCATGGCTAGTGGCTAGTGAAATGGGTTTCTATGCCAATCTGTATGACAATAGCTGAAGTCCTACAAGTGCCTTCGTGGATAGTCGAGCAACCATGTCGTTCCTTCCTCCGAGCCTCTTTGGCGCATGGCTCGCTGCACAAAAAGTTTGCCGGGTGCTCTTAATGGGCAGCTGTAGGACGCTCCGCCTAAGGCCGCCCTCATCCAAAACCATCAGGACATGGGCTGCAACTTACGGACAGAGACAGCTCTCGGCCAAAAAGGCTGCAGCATACGTGTTATTTTTGGGGGTGCAGAAGGCGGATCCTGCATGCTGTGGGGAAAATATTGTGTGCGTCCGAATGAATGCGAACTGGCAGCTTCAGACTGAAAGCTTGGCAGGCCTCCCCATCAGCTTCTGCAACTCTGTTTGCGATTTGCTCATCCGCTCTTTCACATCACTTGCTCCTCGTAGAGTTGGCGATGTCCAGGCTCGATCACAGCAAACTGCACATGGGCCCTGCATTGCCGACGAGCTTGCCCCTCACACCATCCAGAACCCTTCCACGTTGCAATGTGTTCACTACCTCTGGCCACCCAACCCATTGCAGCTTGAGGTGGGTAACGTGAAAGGAACCGCTCTGGCAGTCGCGACAGTTGAAGGCCTCATGCCTTCGACTCCACCTGAGGGGCCGCACCCAGGCCACAGAACCACTGCTGAGGGGAAGATCGGCAAAGTGCCTGTGGACGGAAAAGCGGTCGAACTGTTGAACTGTTGAACTGCGTGTTCAAACCCCCCGAGCGCTTGCGTTTGCGGTTGCAAACGCCACTCACAAGTCATAGAATTAACACATAGCATTTCCTTGGCAGCAAATCAAAACGAGTGACCCTCCTGAGCTCCCCACCTCCCTGACTTGGCAGTTCAGGACCCTTGGTGACCTCGGGTTCGGAAGAGTAAACACACCCTTTTGAGCTTCAAGTCAAGCCACTTGTCCGACAGGGCTCGAGTCAAGCCCCTACTATGCGGTCACCTATCAGAAGGTTTTGCAATATTTTGCAATTGCTTGATAATACATTGCACTTCAGCCATCAATGCTATTGTGCCCAACCTTTGTTGGTAGCCCCTCAACATCAAAAGGCTCTTGCCGATCTACGACAAAGGCACTTCGGAACTACCAAAGATGCAAAATAGGGTACCAGCAAAGAGTACGGTGAGAATGAAGAAACACACATGGTGTGCTTTTGCGCTCCAACAGCCCACAACACTCCGACATCCTCAAACACTCCGACATCCTCAAAGACTCCATGAGATTCGATGAGAACCAATCCGGACGAAATACCCCCGCACGAACCATGCCTCGAACCATGCACGGCGGAGGCTGCGAGTCCGCTGGGGTGAAGTCTCCCATGTGCCACAGAAGTCCCTGGTAAGTTGAGTCCTCAGTCTCCCACGGCGCTTGCAGCGAAAATGAAGCCAAGCACTTCTCCCACAGCGATTGCAGCCAAAACTCTTCACGCTCAAGCCCAGGACCTAAAGTGTCAACAATTATCAATAACTGCATGTCAAGCAAATTGAAAGCGTCTGTTGCCCCCACTCTGGAGGTGCAGGTACTCCCCACATGAAGCCAAAAAGGGCACTGAGCACAGCCAGGTGGCCAAAGCTACCAAAGGAGCCACCAGCTTGGAATACCGCCAGGTGGTCATCGCACGTCGTTTCGTGTCTGGTTTCGACTGACTCGGGGACTCGGTGCCAGGATCGTATCTATTCCTCCAGTGAGAACTCCACATATGAGAGGTTGTCTATACCAGTCTAGGTTCTAAATAGACCCTTCACATCTTTCAGCACGGCTTGAGCTTAAACGCTTCAAGAAAGCAAAGCAGTTCACACTGGGCAGATCAGGCAACGCTCAGCATGTTGGAAGAAAACTGTGAGTTCAAATCTCAGGAAATCTTGAGTCCCCAACCATCGCTCTTCAGTTGACTCTTCAGTCGACCCTGCCTTGCCTCGAAGGGCTGCGACGGCTTCGACCAAACCCCAGGTGCTGTCACCTCCACTTCTGGCTTTGCTACCGACCCCTACTCAACCAATAGGGATCAAAAAGAAGTTTTCGTTCACCCTGGGGACTTGATGGGACACAGTAAGGGTGGTAGTGGTAGTATATAGTGGTGGTGATGGTGGTGGTGGTGGTCGTAGGAGTAGGAGTAGGAGTAGGAGTAGCAGCAATAGCAGCGGCGGCGGAGTAGGAGCAGGAGTAGGAGTAGGAGTAGTAGGAGTAGGAGTAGGAATAGTAGGAGTAGGAGTAGGAGTAGGAGCAGGAGTAGGAGTAGTAGGAGTAGCAGTAGCAGTAGCAGTAGCAGTAGCAGTAGCAGTAGCAGTAG